TTCGCTGTGAGTGTGTGTATCGATGCTGACATTCAGCTTGAATCACAGGCAAGGCATGGCTGGGATGTGAAACGTTGCACCCGCTACCGAAACTTGTGAGGAAGAGATGCATAGCGCTGCAGAGCAACTGGATGTTCTAATTTCAGCCATGTATTTCCAAACAGCTTAAGCAGGACTGTTTCAGAAGGGCGTCTGCTGCTTGTAATGGGGGGGGGGGGTGTGGGGGTCTTTGATGTGATAGTGTGTAGGCATAGGCTACACAAGTGCAGGCCCCAAATGCGTCCCCAGATTAATTCACACCACTTAGTTTTGTTATTTTGTAGGTCTTGAGGTGCAGCATCAGTGTAGAATAGTGGGTAGTCCTACCTTCTAGTCCTTTTTGGGGGGGAATACAATATTTTTTTTAAGTAGAACAACAGTAAGATGCTTCTGACACATCAAGGGTCCATCTTCCTGCCTTCAAGTGTTAAAATCTTTCTTACACCATTGCATTTGGATTAAAGCAACTTTACAAATGTGCTTATTTTTTGTGTTTCAGGGTAAATCCGAGATGGACAACTACCTATCCCACCACCAACAAGACATTGGCAATTCCAAAATGTTGTGCAGGGACAGCGCTCTGATGCTAGAGCCATACAGCGAGGACTTCACCTCGCCGTACAGCGTCAACATGAGCCTGCTGGTTCCCGACGTCACATACCTGCACCCTGGTCTCTGCAGGACTATGAGACCCATCAAAACAGAGCCGTCTCACTCTCTGCTGCACCCCAGCTGTCAGGGCAACGGGGCGCCAACAACCCTCCAAGAATACCAAGGTGTTTTTAGTGCAGCCGACACAACTGGCGGTACATTTTTCATCAAACAGGAAGTGCCAGATTTCCAAGACGTCCCACTGTTTCAGCTTTTGAACTCTGACATGGAGCAGCTCGTCCATGGGTCACAGCTGAACTCAGTCACCCCATTAAGTCTTCCTAACGTCAATGTAGGCACAGTGCAGAATTTTGCTAAACACACAAGCAGTCCTCACAATGAATGTTTTCCATTCAATCGACACTCAGGCCATCAGCAGAGACCAACCTATTTGCCGCCCTCTCCGCCAAACTCTGATCCCCCGAGTCCAGACAGGGGGAAGGAGCTCCTACTCAATCTGTCCCCACCTCCCTCCTATGAAGCCAGCATCGCCTCAAAGCTACAATTTCACACCCATATTCCCATTAATCCAGGACAGACTTCCCGTGTATCAAACCAGAGTCAAGAACAGAATTCCAATGCTGGATTAGTCCAAAGCCCGGGTCCTGCGCCAGTCCAGCGCTCCAGCCTGACACCGGTCCAGACGGCGGCAGGTGTTGGCCCTCTGTCCCCAGTGTTGGCCCAATCAGCTTCAGTTAGGTACAACAGGAGGAATAATCCTGATCTGGAGAGACGGCGGATTCACCACTGTGATGTTCCAGGTGAGACTTCTGCCCAGTCTGCACAACAACATTAAAGTTAAATTTAGAGTTTTGCAGCACTATTAGGAGCAATAAAATACACTTTTTTTTCCTTCAGGGTGCAGGAAAGTATACACCAAGTCTTCACATCTAAAAGCCCATCTGAGGACCCACACAGGTAAAAATAAATTGAGTTACACTTTTTTTATTTTGGGGTGAAAGTGGTGATGTTGCCAGGCAGAAAAATGTACTTGGCATGCAGATGCATTCTGTCCGCTGACAGACCTGGCCCACATCTCACTGCTGTCAAATCACATAAACCCTGCAGCTCTCATAAAGGGGGCAGGGGAACAGATAGGACAGGCTGTGATTTATGGCTCACTATTTGAGTCACAAGTATGAAAAAGTATCAGCTTATTTGTCATTGAAACTTATTTGTGATGTGTAGAAATATCCCAAACTTTTACGTAATGTTATTTCTTGAGATGTTTTTGTTTTTTTAAATGTCTGTCATATGTAGCTTCATTTTTGCTTCTTTTTTTTAATCTGCTGTAGGAGAGAAACCGTACCAGTGCTCCTGGGAGGGATGTGAATGGCGCTTCGCCCGTTCGGATGAGCTGACTCGCCATTTCAGGAAACACACGGGGGTGAAGCCTTTCCAGTGTGGCGTGTGTAGCCGCTGTTTCTCCCGCTCGGATCACCTGGCCCTACACATGAAGAGACACCAGAGCTAGAAACCCCCTCATCAAGTTTTAATATTTAGTAAACACGGACTAAGTACACAGCACTTACATATCAGCAAACAAACCTACTAAATAACTGTGGGTTATCTCACACACTCCCCAGTGGGAGTGTAAGACAGTCTTAGCAGTGCTGGCCCACACATAATTGATTCTTTTATTGTGAAAAGATTAAATATTAACATTGCATTATTTGTACCCACAATTGGGGGAATTTTACAAAGATGTCATTCAGAAATAAATAGCCAAATGTAATAATTAAAACATATTGAGCTTTTATTTCATTAGATTACGTTGCACTGCAAAGTGCACGAACAACTTCAAATATCGTTGCTTTATTATCAAGTTTTTCATTGTATAGATAATATCAACATGTGTCATTTATTTAAATAACTGCCAAACTGTAAGTGCAGACGACTTGTGTTGAAAGGAAAAAGGTCAAAGAATATGATGTTTGAACCAGCAGGTCAAGATGATAATGTGTGTGTTAAGAGAGAAACAGAATGTAGGTAAAGTTGTTCTTAAGCAGGTTTTAGATCAAGGAAAAGACACAGCTGGAGAACTAAACGTTGGACAGAGAGCTGTTTGCAGGTCGCGTGGTAGAAGTGAGTGCAGTGCTTAACTAACTTCAGCACTGCCAGATTTATGGGTTACTTTACCGTTGAGGATAACTCAAAACAAAATCTATATTTACTCATAACACTGAAAAGGAAGGATGAATAATGTCTATGGGGTATAAATCTAATTCATTTGGACAGCATTATGAATGTTTCTATATCTATGCCCCCTTTATATCGCCATTGCAGGAAGTGTTAAATGTCTTTGAGGAAGTCGGAGAGATAAATCCAAATGGTGCATTTTTTTATTTGAATACTTCTATAGTAGCATGATTTTTATTTAATTTTTAAAAAGGTTTAACTTATTTTGATAGGCTTGTTCTCCCTTGTTAACTTTGCATATATATAATATCTAATTTGACACTAAATATACAACTGCTTTGAGTACATAACATTTCAGCAGCATTATTTTCTTTCTCCTGGAAGTGTAATGATGGACAAATTAAGACACATTTCTGGGCCTGAATGTAAGGTATCTTATTTCAGGATTATAAAATTACTGATGATTTATCCTCGTAAATTGTTTCATAATTATCTGACTGAGCACCTGCCAGTCTGAACATCTGTGTGAAAAGCGTGTGGTTCTTTTGACTGCTATCCATGTTTTCAAACACCTTTTGAAAGTGCCTTTAACTACTTTTGTTTTGGTCCTGTGTGTTGGCTGTCCCTCTTATTTCCAATCTAGGGCAATCTCTATTTATGACCAAATGTATTTTAAATTTGATTCAGGTTGAACAAAACATTGTTAAAATGTATATATTTTGTATTGGCTATTTGAGGATATCATTTAATAATTGTGTTTGGGTGTGTAAAGATTTTTAAATGTTTTTTTAATTGCAGAGAACTCTTTATTTTTATTTTTTCGGGCAAAGATAACATTTATTACAGTGTATTCTGTCATCACTTTCTACAGCCAAGTTAGAAGCTCAGTGGATGCCAGTGTATTAATGCAATACTTTTAAAATAAATATGTAAACACAAATATTTTGACATTAAAGACGTAACAATATGTTGTGTCATAGCTTCATAATTGTTGCCTAACTTGATCTAATGTGCTATGAAGCCATGTCATTCTCAAAGTACAAATAAAAGATGTGTTGAATATTTGATTTGGAATGTCTGCTTTTTTTATTTTGATACATGTAGATATAATTATCTTTGTGTGCTTCCTAATTGAGTTTGCATGTTTGACAGTATTTTTTCCACAGTTACAAAGTCAGTTATATGGTAAAAATGTGATCAATAGATTAGTTCAACATTCGTATTATAAATGCTCCTTAGGGACTTGAAAAGAGTAAACAAGAACATAACATATTCATGTGGAATTTTTACAAAATCCACAGATGTTTTAACAATAAAGCTAGTCCACTATTTGTATTCTTCCATTACAATTCCCAGTTTCATCCTCTTTGCTGCCCAAGGTTTTTGTTTTTGTTGGCACAGCAGCACTTTATTTGGTTTCTGTGTTTAGAGGTTATTAGGGAACACACCCTCTTTATGCACATGAGCTTAACAATTATGTGCAATCCAAAGAAAACAGGATGACTTCTTTTGTGTTTTAATTATTGTAAAGCGCCCTCGATATGAGTCATAGCAGAAGTGCTGACAAAAGGTGCCAAGAGGAGTTGTCTGAGCTTGCCCCGAGTGCCCCGTGGAGATTGTTTTAGTATTATTTACTTATACACTCTACTTTGCTTGTATAGTATGGCCTACATAGTATGGCTCCTGTGAGTGATAAATCACATACGGCACACCGAAATACTAACCGGAGTGGGAATTTAAACCTTGTTATTGTAATCATCTGAATCCTTTGCTGGCTGACAGAAACATTCGTCTAGACCCAGTTTATAAAAAAAAGTGCCGTACAGGATGTACTGGGCAAACCTGTTCTCAAAAACTCTATTCCCTAAACGTGTGTCAAAACAAATCATGTCTTAAAATACCAGAGGTAAAAATAAATAAACATTTGACTTGATTTTCAAGTACAAACAATTGTTTTTCAAGATGTTATCCTCTTCTTGTTCTGACCAGATGTACTGTACTCTGTGTACAAGCTACTGTATATAATCTATAATTTGAAATATCTTCCCTAATACCAAGATTAGGTTTCTGAATGCCAGAGAATGCGAGCGCTCAGATGTCGAAGTGACATGGAAACCGCATACCATCCATCTCAGTCATAGATAGCAACTAGCTCCATACCAGTGTGTTACATACAAAATGCAACTTTATTAACCTTCATGCCTCCATTCATATTAATATACATGTATATGTTTGAACTTATTTTAATTTCACAGCTCCATCCATATGAAAAATACAGAGAAAAAGGCAAAACACTGACTGGATACTTAAACAACTCTTGGAGAAAAGAAAATCGTAACAGAAAAAAAAGGACACCTGTTCTTGAATTTTTGAAAAATATCAGGATTAAAAATTTCTTTTACATTTGTGGAATTCCATGAGCAGAATCTCCCTTTTTAAGCTGATGCTGAGCAATATCACAATTTTTTTTTTTTTCACGGTAAGAATGAAAAGATCTGAATATATTTACACTACACTCACTTTACATAAATACAGGAACAACGATTACTGTACGTAATATCAGCAAACTTGAAACATAGGCATTGGCTTCACTACTTACATTTTTAAAACCAATAAATCAAAAGCAGATGTTACACAGAAAGTAAAATAGATATTGAACTGATAGAGACGTGTAAGATCAGTATTCATTAACAAAGGCGTTGCTTTACAGCCCTCATCCAGCCACAAGACTCCTCATTATCCTCCATGATGAATTCATGGGATGAAACATAGAGGCCTTTGTAACTCCGTTTTCCCCCTTAGAGGAAGTGACTTATTGCAAGCAAAGTAATAACGTGAGCTATAAACAGCCTGTGAAAGTGTTATGGGAAGATGCTGCATTTGACACAATGGCATAAGGCTCAGTGCGAAAAATAAACGTTAAAGGTCCGACTTGCATAATGTTGTCTGTGCTTTTTGTTTTAAAAATGTATGGTTTCCCATTAGATAGTAATTAATTTGAGCACGCATGTTAAAATCCAAACTCTGCCCAGAGCGTTTGATATTACAAGTTTGCAATATGAGGCACTATTCATTATTATTGCATAACTTTGACCCTGGTAACCGTTACAAAATTATGCTTTAAAATGAGGAAAGAGATGCTGAAGGGAAATATAACACACCCTGTCCTGTGGAGACACCATGTTCAAGTCTAATTTAATCGAGAAAAAACTGGTGTTTTAAGGCATGCATCGTCATACACTGAATACGAGACGTGTTGATATGTGCTTGATCATAGAATTTCTTGTCCGGGTATAGCAAAATAGCAACATAGGGAATCGAGTACCTTATTACGGTCAATGTATATAAATAATTTGTTGTTAAAAGCAAACACTGGTTCAGCCTTGGGAATAAAAATGATTTGATCATGAACTTATTAAACCACAAACCAAAGAAAGCAAACTGTTCTATAACATCACATATGATCATTTACACGATGGATACAATAAGCCCCATTTCACTGTATATCAAATTAGATAAATTACAGTCTCTGAAAAAAAGACTTTACATGTATAAATGTATCTCCTGCATCTACTAATCAAAAGCCCTATTTTTCCAATGTATATACAGGCTGTAGAACTTTGTAATAAGTGTTATCTTCACTATCACATATATTACAACATTTCAAAATATCCTTTTTACAGAAGAAAAAGAGTTATATGCAAAGATGAAGTGCCCCTCGACAATAAAATGTTTCTTATACATTATATGGAGGATAAAATATGATGATGACTATTTGTTTATAAATTGACATCTGAAATAAAATAATTTGAAAATCATACTATTAAACAAACAAGGTGCTGATATGCTTTTTTGCCAAAATGATAATACAACTGGGCATAATGACATGTGCGCAAATAATATATATAAATAATGATAACTTACATTACCATTCTTCGTTACATCAGACGGGGTCACATACATTGGGTGCATGTGTGGAAATGACTTCCTGGATTTGGCTACTTCACTGAAGGTGAGGATGCTCAATGCAAAGTGTGTGTTTAAATGTGTGTGAGTGTGTGTGTTTTCAAGGTGCTATTATCAGAAGGGTTGCCATTTCTTTTTTTACTGGCTTCGGTCCAATGAATGCATTTAGCAGCACTATCAAATATTATGGGATGGCCTGATGCTTTGAGTTTATGTCTGCAGGTCGTACACAGCATTAAGAGAATTGGAAATACTTGCAGAAATATCTGTTATTATGACTATAAAAAAACTCTTTAATTTAATGTCCTGATTAAAGTTAAGTGATGTGCTCGAAGAGAGAAGATAGTACTGCCAGTAACCGCATCTAAAATGTAGAAGTGCTTTACAAGCATATTGTATTTATGTTTTTAAAGTATGTATATGCATGTGAATTCCCCCCATTTTTCAGCATTTGTTATAGCCAAATCTCAGGTGAATCAGATAACATATATCTGGTCTGAGGTGAGAACATTTCAAGTGATTTTCTGTATTCGAGACAAACAAAATGATTGGGAGTAACTCACTAACGTAGACACGTCAGATTAGAGCCTTGTGCTGGAGCTAGGGGGCCAATCAAACAGAGGGAGTCGTGGTACAGAGAGAAGAGTTGGCCCAGTTAGAAACTTCTCCTCCGATATTGACATCAACAAAAAGAACAAAGAGGACATTGGCGTTCCTTCTCATCACTTTGTTCAGTAATGTATTGCTCAACTGTATTGTAGATCAGGTAGCACACTATCCCTGTAACACTGCTCCTGTGTCAGTTTCAGCTTATGGTCAAGTGCCGCTGTGCAAAACCACAACGCAAGTTCCTTTCACTGTCAAACCCAGCTGAGAAAACAGAGCTGAATAATAAAAAAACAAGATCAATCGGGACAGAATGAAAGCGTGAGTCTGTAAGGTGCCTCTGTTTTTTTTTCACATACTGTACTGGAAATCTCCTCTGATTGTTTCAAGTTCACTGTACATGAGGGGTTGTATTATTCTGAGTCAAACATAAGCAATAAGCAGGCATAACAAAACAAAGAAGTAAGATTCAATAAACAAAAAGTTGTCATACTAAAAGTATATTTATCCTTAAAGATTGCACTTTACTGATTGCTAATCACAGCACAAATTCCACCAAAGATTTTTTTTTTAAGAAATGCTTTCAAGAGGCTCAACAGAAAGAGTAGCACTGATGAGATTTGGGGTGGTCCGGCCCTGTGAGCGGGTCATAAACGGTGTGTTTCTTTGCTGGTGTGATGACATGAGTGTCCAGTTATTACTGTTTCGAATTAAGTAATTCAAATCTATGAAAGTAGACGTGTTGATGAGGTTGATCCATTCAGATTGTGGCTTTTGAAGTCATTTACTGTTAGCTGGCAATGAGACAGGTGAAAGTCCAGCCCTCTTTTAGCTTCCATATAGAAAGCCTCAGATAAAACAGCTCCAGCAAGCGAAGAAAAAACCATCCGTGATGAAAGGACACCCTCTGCTGGTCACAAATCTGACTCACAGGGAGGCACGGTGCAACAATACTGCCTGTAACTCCAACTAGGCCCAAGTCCTTTCCTGTGATCCGGTCCAGGCCTAACTCCTTTCTGCTCGCACAGGAAATCCACTCCAAACAATGGGGTCTTTCACATTATGAATGCTGGAAAAGCAGCTGTTTGAAGAATAATGAAAGGAAAGATACGAAAAAGAGACCGCCGCAATTGCATTGTATATTGTTTTCGTCCAAATAAAGAGTGCGAGTTCTTCTTTAAAAATCAAAGTGAGACATTTACAAACAGTGCTGTAAAAGACAGTTCCCTATTATACTCCAAAGAACAACAATAACAGATCTGCCGTCTTTTCCTTCCAACCCGGAGAGGATCCAGAAGTGACCCTGTGTTGTGCTCCACAAGCTCTGTGCTTCTTCTTCTTCTTCTTCTTCTTTCCTCATGACGGATGAGAGAGTGTGTGTGTGTGTGTGCGTATGTATGTGTACATGTGTGCGTCCAGGCCAGCTGTAAAACATTCATAGGGAGATCCCGCTCCCCCGGCTGCCTGTTTGTGTGTGCCTGTCCCATTGATCTCTTTTCTCTCTCTTTCCATTCCTCTTTATCTCGCTCCGTCTGATTCACACCAGCATGTGTCTCCGCCGGTGCAGGGCCAAGTGGTCGGATCTGGAGAAGCTGCGGTCACAGTCTGCGCACTTAAAGGGCTTCACCCCTGTGTGTTTTCTGTAATGCCTCGTCAACTCATCAGAGCGGGCAAACTTCCACGTGCAGCCGTCCCAGGTGCATTTGTATGGCTTTTCCCCTGCAGAGGAACACAGAGAACAGTCAGAAGCTTGTACACCACATGTTCAGTATGTTACTCAGTAGGAAGCACACTGTGGCCTTGATGCTATATTTATAATGATATGTCTTCCATCATTTGGAAACTTTCTATAGCTAAAAGCCAAACGATTATAAGGTATTGTATGATCAGAACATTTTCAAAGCTCAAATATCACAATTGCTCGCAGCAAATCTATTGCTCATAAAAGTCTTATTCATATTTTATTGTCGCTTTTATTTTGTTTAGGTGAAAACCACAGCTGTGTTTCTGCAGGTATTTGTTCCCTTGCCCACAAGCTTTTCAGTTGGGAGCTAAAACTCCTTTCTTTAAAGTCATCTAAGTACATGACAATAACTTGATATTCATTTCCACATTCAGTCTGGCCCATGGCATTTGCTCACACCAACAATAATGACTTTCGGGGCATTTAAATGTCAATACTGCTGACAAAGTGAGCAAAATACATGATAAACAAAATCAGAGTACTGACCTGTATGCGTCCTCCGGTGTGCTTTTAAGTGGGAGCTTTTAGTGTACACCTTATTGCAGCCCTCAAAGTCACATCTGTGAATTCTTCTCTTTTTGGAATCTGGTGACTCTGACCTCCGGGGGCGTCGTATGCTTTCAATACTGAACGGGGACATGGAACTGCAACAGGAGAATAAGAATAAACATTAAAGCATTATTACACTGTGACAATAGCATTAGTACTTTCATACTAACATACTAAGCAGTATGTAGTGTATTCATACTTAAAAAGAGACACATAAAGCATACTCAATCAAACCTATTCACATACATTGTTCAGCACATTCATTTTCTATGTGCATTGCAAAGGTTCAAAGAGTGTAATTTCATGAACTGATCGTTTAGTTACATGAACTTCCCTTCCCCCAAACACCAGAGTTTGGAAGTAACTAAGTAAATGTACTCAAGTACTGTACTTAAGTAACATTTTAAAGATACTTGTTCTTTACTCGAGTATTTCCATTTTATGCTACTTTGTACTTCATCTTCATTGCAATTCAAAGGTAAATCATGTACTTGTACTTATTTTCTACCTTAAGTTACTTTACAGATTTGGATTAATGATATGAAATATAATCAAGACTTAAATCAGACTTTAGTTACACCTGGAGTAGCATTCAAAAACTGCAGTATACAAAGTAATTAAAACTAGATGCAACGTTACCAGCTTTGATAAACACTTTAATGCATCAATACTTACAAAATATATACATTATTCTGAAATGTACCCATTTGCATAACGATTACTTTTAGTGCTAATACTTTTGTACTTTTACTTGAATAACATTTTGAATGCAGGACTTCTACTTGAAACTAGGGCTGTGTGATTATGGCAAAAATCATAATCACGATTATTTTGGTCAATAATTTATATCACGATTATAAATACGATTATTCATTGACTTTGAAAACATCCATTTATTGAACTTTAAAACAAATACAAATAATAATTTGAACAGCATCTTATAACTGTTGATTACCCTGAACGTATAATTCAACTGAAAAACTTTTCATAACCCTAACCCTAACCCCTAAATAAATAATATCAAAATAATAAATACCAATAAACAAGATCAACAAATATTTTGGAGCGCACTTCCAAAAGCTACTAATCATAAATAAATATGATAAATACAAATAAATTAGACCAAAATAAATTAGATCAAATATGTTGCAGTGCAGTCACAACCTAGCAAAGCAAAATAATTGTTTTATTCGATTATGTTGTTATCGTAATTGCGATTAAAATACGATTAATTGCACAGCCCTACTTGAAACAGAGTATTTCTAGACTCTGGTACTCATACTTTCACTCAAGTACAAGATCTGAGTACTTCTCCCATCCCTGCCAAACACTAACAGTAGGTACTAACTGCAGTAAACAGCAAGGATGTATTCATGGTAAAAATAACCCTGAGAAGAAGTGGAGCAGTATCTTTGCCAGCAGGTGGCAGTGCAGCACTGCTCCACGGTAAACAGAGGAAGCAGATGAGGTAAGAAGGATGGTATGTATTCGTATTGCCCGAACACTTCCATCAATCATAGGTGGAGGGATAACGGAGTTTTATCTCAATGTTGTTCAGCGAGGTTAATGACTCCTGAGTTATATCTGCCATCAATACATTTAGGCATGACATTTCCTCTCCATTAACTAGTCAATATCACTGTTGATTATATCATTTGTCACTTTGGAATGTGTTTGTGTGCTTTTGCATGCAATACGTATACTGCACATGTATAGTACATGTACTGTACTTACATGTACAGTAAGTATTTTGCAGTCTCATTGCTGTGGCAAATCTTTAGTGTGTGCATGTAACACTTCTCTAAATCACACACAGACATCCAGGAAGATAACACAGAAGCTAGGGTTGTGGTAGATGGTCAGTAGTTCATGTCTCTTGTTCATCAATGAGCATCTTTTACATGGGGAACAACTCATGACTACTGCACACACACAACAAATAGGCAGGCAAGACACAAGAACATCTCTGTGTACTGGAAGGGAGGAGTAATATCTGCGGGATATATCTAACGGGGCTCTGTCAGCAGTGATGGAGCACAGTTGCTTTTCTTCCAGGTCTCAGAGACTCTGCTGTGAATATTGAGAAACGGGTAAGAGGGTGAAGAGGAGGAAGAGGAAGGAGTGAGCGTACGAAAGGAAAAGCTTGGGCCGTGTCAGATTTGAGAGGAGCAAGGTCTGCCAGACAGGCCTGCAGTGAACTGTCTCCACCACACATAACCCACTTCCTGTCTCTCAGTGTTTCACCGAAGCACCATTCGTCAAATGCAGACTCAGATATATACGCATGCAATCATGATACACACAGGCTAGACAAATACACAAAACGACAGAAAAACACATACATACAGATCACCCGTTGCTCTTGGCTTACTGCCAAACTGAAGCTGTACAGGAAATGAGCACACGGGTCAGATATGAAGTGGACTCTCTCCCTATTGCTTCAACCTCACTGAACACACAAGAAAGTATATCCATAAAGTTTAAAGTATACAGTTTTAATTAGAAATGATTGATGAGAGTACCGGGCCATCCACTAATCTAACAGAGAAATGCAGACACGCATTTGTACTCTAAGGTACTGTTGGCCTCTGTGTGTGTGTGTGTGTGTGTGTGTGTGTGTGTGTGTGTGTGTGTGTGTGTGTGTGTGTGTGTGTGTGTGTGTGTGTGTGTGTGTGTGTGTGTGTGTGTGTGGAGACAGGCTTTATAGAGGAAACTCTATACTCAGACATCTAGCAGATGAGGCGGATGTTTACATTCTGACTTCATCCATGACGTACTGTAACTCCATGATTATGATATAAATTATTGAGATCCGAGTACAACAGGTTCTAAAAACAAAGACTTATTATTCATCACTAACTAATTGATTTAACATGCAACAACTGTTTATCCTCTTCTGGTGATAATGATGTTGTCATCACTGCTCCATTTGAAGAGCTTGGTGAAATAATTCTTGTTTAATTCATTTTGGGTATTAATAGAATTTTCCCACTGAGACATTACCAACAAAACCGAGGTAATCAGTTATACTTCCAAATCCACGTTTATGAAATGAAACTTCCTCACAACTGAAAGGTACCTGAATTACATGAGTGAAAATGAAAGTATTAAAATAAGAAGAATTGAAAAAATTAAGTAAAATCAATAATATTTCCTTCTGAGCCACAAAGGCATTGTATCACTCCAAACTGCAAACCTGGGTTTTCAATTATAAGTCAAACAACATTTTGGGGAAACTGGTATGGCATTATTCAGCATTATTTTTACATACAAGGCTGCAAATAATTAATAAGATATCTGGCTAATAAATCAACAATGAAAACAATGTTTGCTGAAGCCCTAAAGTGAGCATCAAATAAAAGATATTCAATGTGTTATGCAGTTTATGGATGTTCATGCTTCTCTTCGTGTTGAGAAAGTTGCGCCACATCTGGTCTGTTATGCTTAATTTCTAAAAGATGCTACTATTAGTGTTAAGTTGACATTTATATAAGTGTGCTAATGCAAATGTAAAAGATCAACTTGCTCATAATTGATGAACTGGTGCATTTAAAACACATCAGCCAATAGAGATGCACTCGTTCACATTTAAAGGTAAAAGTATCGTTATTATAACCTGAAGGATTATAGGTTGTAGTTTGATTTTGGGATGAGCAGAGTAAATGTCCTAATTTAGGGAACAAAAAGGGGGGGGGAATCTTTAGAAAACAAGAAAGTTTCTGAGTAATGTGTAGTCCTATTTATACGAATAAACAATACGTATTTATGTTTTTAATAACACAACTTTGGCAATATGTCTTGTAGCGGTTTTGTGAGAATCGATTCGTTGTATTTCCTCATGTGAGCCCAGCGGCAGACTCACCCTGCCTTGAACTCTGTGTCACAGCGGCATCACGACTGTGTGAATGTGTCTGTTTGTGCGTCCCAAAGCAGCCGAGAGAAATAGGAAGTACAGCTGAGAACGATTTCAGACAGAGCTGACCTCTGTTTTCGCTCCTTTGTTTCCCCTTTTTTTTCTCCACGTCTTCATCCGCTGCTCTCAACGAGTGAAAACGAGAGAGGGACTGTGTGTCACCTGCAGCAGGGGTTTCCCACAATGCACAACACAATACATATTTGTTCAACTCCTCATAGGAAACAGGGTCAAAACAACAAACCGTGTAAACACAGCAACGGTGCGACGTGGTCTTTAAACGGACCTAGAGTAAAAGTGGACGTATCGAGAAAACAGGAAAGGGAGTGTGTGTGTGTGTGTGTGTGTGTGTGTGTGTGTGTGTGTGTGTCGAACTGGAAGACTGCCCACTGGGCATTCCTGTACCTGTCCGAGGACACTACCCCTAGCCTATCCCCCCCCCTTCCTCCACCTGCTCTGCTCCATGGCCCCTTGGGGACAAGCCAGACTTCAGCAGAGCAAACCCTTCCAACACAAGCCCCTAAAAACACAAGCCCCGAGAAAACACACACACACACACACACACACACACACACACACACACACACACACACACACACACACACACACACACACACACACACACACACACACACACACACACACACACACACACACACACACACACACACACACACACACACACACACACACACACACACACACACACACACACACACACACACACACACACACACACACACACACACACACACACACACACACACACACACACACACACACACACACACACACACACACACACACACACACACACACACACACACACACACACACACACACACACACCTAACTGTCTTCCTCTCTTTCACTCGTGCTCTCCCACAATAGCCTATCCACCCGTCCCCAGGGAGACACATGAATATGGAGGAGGCTGCCCAAGAAGCACATGACACACACACTCCCTCTATCTCACTCTCTCCTTTCACTCATTTATTTATATATGGATACCTGGATTGGAGGCTGTAGGCACTCCCATCCTCCGACCTAACACTTCTCTACTCAGATGCTCTCTGGCTGACTGCTTGTGTAAATGTGGATACTCAATTACATAAAGCAAATCTTTCCTCCTTGGGATTTAACCTTTTTTTTTTTTTTTAATACAGCAGCAAAATGGACTGATATGTTTCAAAGAAGTGATTCTGTTGCACTGCAGATATCCATAAAGTGCATTTGTGTGTCAATACAGAATGCACATTCTTCCTCTATGGAAGCGTGTAACTCAAGAAGACTACAGACTGCTTTGTTTTTCCCAGACAAACATGCAAGTCTGTGTTCCTGTTGACAATGGCTGACCTCCTTCTGGAACCAGCTGTTCTGTCCACTGTGCAGAAACACGTGCGTGCATACAGTACAAAAACACATACACCGGAGGATTAATAGTTACGGACGTGCACACATACTTTTTCTACACAGCACAGTCCGCACTTTGCAAACAGAGAAGTGAGTGTGTGGGCAGGCCCTGGCAGGGCATTGCTAAGCCTGGCTGGTGATTTCTCTCCATAGTGAAAGCTTGGGCAGTGAAAGATGGGTCCTGCCAACCTCTGTTCTTCTCTGACCACCCGGTGCCCACGTGTGGCACTCAGGGGCATGCCTGTCCCTTTCAATAACCTGCATTGAAACCTGAGTCCTCCAGTGAGTCTGTGTGTGTGTGTGTGTGTGTGTGTGTGTGTGTGTGTGTGTGTGTGTGTGTGTGTGTGTGTGTGTGTGTGTGTGTGTGTGTGTGTGTGTGTGTGTGTGTGTGTGTGTGTGTGTGTGTGTGTGTGTGTGTGTGTGTGTGTGTGTGTGTGTCTCTGTGTGTGTGTGTATCCTCCCTGAAACATGGCAACCTCGACAAACACAGCCAGAGAACGAATCTTCACCACAATGTGTTGCACAGTGCCACCACAATTACTCATTTAGTTTCATTACTGTAGATGTTCACAAAGCCAGCAATGCTCGGTAAACAACACAATGTCTTGTTACAATGTCAACCCCATAAGCTGGAATGCTACATCCAAAAAACACAGCCGTCAGCCTCAGCCTTGTTAATGTTGCTACATCATTAGCAGGATTTTCACAGGAGTCTCTGAATAGTTTCCTTACAGTTAGTCTAAATAAAAAGTCCAATGGGCATTAGCTTGAGTCTGGCCAGGCTGCTGGATATGACTGTTCTGAGTTTATGGGCAGAAGGGGAGGAGGGCAAGGCCGAGCCAAGTGTTTCTCTGTGTCTTATTTCCTGTTTCTGATCAGGATTCTGTGAGCTGTCATCCACTGGAGAGGCAAGACTTTACAGTCAACACAGATGGACTGGCACCGCAGGAGTTGTGATGTCTGGGCTTAAAGTATATCTGAGCCTTATGCATACAGGCATATAGATCTCTATATACACTCTCATGCAGATACATCCAAATGTGGAAGGGCAGCCACAAAAGCACTCAGAAATGCACAATGCTGGGTTTTATACTGGGTTTATATATCAATTATGCTATCATACAAGGGGACTGACAATGAGCACTGTCAGGGGAAATATTTGAAACCTCTGTACTGTGAACTCTGTAATGCCAGAGCTCTGATTATTTGACTTTATGTTCATTGTACTTTTAAAATGTGTAGGGTTTATACAAACTGTCGAAAACTTGTATGCTATTACACGTATTTTACAATCCCTCTTAAAAAGGTCATCATTTCTTTAAATTAGACATGTTGTTAATATTTCAGAAACAAAACAGCTCGATAAACTTGAAAGTGTTTTTAAAAATGCATTTAATAACGATTCAAATGTGAGCAGTGAGATGTACTCCCTTTGGGGTGGGTTTATCCTATATAATTGATGAGCAATTTCAAGAAGCACTTATCTTATTAAATAACTAAATTGTGATATGTGATTTTTGGGTGAGTGATCGAAGGAAAGTTAGCCTGAGTAAATGAAAAACTTTCTCCAACACTAAGAATACTTTAACAGCAGACCAAATTGAAACTCCTATAACACCAAACTTTACAGCTGCCAACAGTGAGGCGTGTTTGGATCAAGACCACACTTCCGAAACATCATCCTGTGACAACATAGAACAGAAATAACTGCTCAAGACAGAGAGAGGATTTTTTTTAGAGTTGTTAGGGTCAGTAGAAGAGAAAAAGTCAGTGTAGAGACTCAACATTCCCACACACAGGTGTACAGATCATGATACTCACTCTTGTACAGCGCGGGCTATAGACAGCGCAGTGGAGCCGGTCTCATTAACACTGTCCAAGGTCACGTTTGGCAGGTCGTCGTCGTCACTGTCACTCTTGATCTGCCTTGGCGACAGGCCGTTGTGGTCTGTGTATGCTGTGAGGACAGGACACAGACACAGGAGTCAGTGGGGACAGTTGTTGTTTGAATGTGTGCATGTATGTGTGAGTGTGAATACAGAATGGCCATGTGTAAAGTATGTGTGTATGCACTGTGTCTGCTCTCTGTTCCCCTGCTGGTGCAACTGACAGGGAATCATATTCAAGATAATGACAAACTTTCACATAAAAGGCCTGAAGACAACACAAAAGTCTAAATCCACCCATTAACTGCTTGTCATCTTCCTGGTAGTTAGCAAACTAGCTTCCTCCCTTCTTAGATTATTCTCTTTTGCACAGTAACCAAGAAGAAAAACATGCACCATCAACACTTCTGAGCCTCTGAGCCAGTGAGCGCAGGGGTCTCTTGTCCCTTGAGCTGCATGACAAACTAACATCTACTTCACAAGTTGTGACAACTTCTCCCCTGGACAACTCATTGGATATATTGCCAGAGCCTGCAGCCGTTCTGTCTTCTCGGTCTCCATGGACACAGGCTGCGTACATTCTGGGTAGCTCAAGAGATGAATGTCAAAAAATATATAAACCTGTCACAGACTACCTGTCAAATAAAAATTGCTGGATATCCACTGGATTTAACATTTTAACATGTTACATTTGAAAAATACAGAGGACTACACAACTTGTAAATAGTCTATTATGTTAAATATTGAATAACTCTTCATGGTTCTGATGTATTCATCACCAAAACCATATACATATTGTGATTCGCTTTCAGCTGAAATCTGTGACATCCTCTGTTACTGTACGCCTGATGCTTTTATAAAAGCTATTAGGACTTCCACCTCCTCTGCCCTCTCAGCCGAGACTGTGGTCATAATGGCCCATAATAAGGGTCTAGAGTTGGGAGCAGACATGGTGTTATTACTGGGGGAGGGGGTTAATGCTGTAACTCTGCTGGAGCCTTTGCTTTAAAGGTTTCCAAACTGTTGTCGTAGACTAAGACATGCAGAGTGGTCACCAGCTCGCCTACCCTATGGAAAACCTGTAATTAACTAGAAATGCTCCGTGTGTTAGAAAGGGGTATTTTGAGCGAGGGACACAAAAGGAGGAGCAGTGGAGAGGTGGGCAGAGCACCGGATTTCTTTCTTTCTCTCCTGTTGTTTCCAGTCAAGCCCTGTTTCCATGGCAACCTCCTGCCGGAGACAGGGAGACAGCAGTGAAAGGAAGGGTACCCGCCCTCTCTTATAGAGGATGGCCAACCTGTGTGTGAGTGTGTGTGCGCGTGTGTGTGAGTGGTAGTTGTGTGTATATGTGAGTGCATGAAAGTGTTTTGTATTTGTGTTGAAAGCTTCAGTATGACTGCGACTTGCATCACTGCACATGATTGTTCAGTTTAAAGCAAGTCAAACAAGGTAAATCTGGGCTGTTGACCCTCACATTAACTTCCTATTTGAGGGGAGTGGGCTTTAGATAAAGACTCTACCACTAAAACAATAGAGACACCTGAAAAGGAAAACGTTCATATAAAATGGAAACAGAAAAATCTACTTAAATTCAAACAACAATATAATGAATTGTAACACTTCGTTTGTATATTTTCATTTGAATTTGATTGTGAAATCCTATGTCTCCTTAAGTCACATGAGTTGCCAGAAATAGCTAGATGTTCTGTTTGTCTTCTGGTTGCGATGTCATTAAAAGTGACTGTATCCACCACACCCAACAGTCACACTCGTTCACCCCATTTCCTTCGTGTTTTGTGCTTTCACTGCCGGGTAGAGCTGTTGTTGGACTGTGTACAATGTGTGCGTGCATGTGTTTGTGTAAGTGCCACCCATCTTCAATATCCATCCACACCCTCTTATGCAAGCCTTGTTTTTCCTGTCCGTCCTTCTTTCCTCTTCTCTCCCAGGGAGCCGACATACAGTAAAACGCCCATCTCTAAGGGGACCACCACACCCATCCGACAAGTGTCTTTCTGACTACATAATCTAATTACACATGTTTGCTTGTTCGTGTACGGTACATGCACCGGTGTGAGCTTAAAAGTCTAAGTTTGTCCGTCCATCCTGCAGGGAATGTCAAGAAGCAACCTCTTTTTACGACCAACAGTTGGCCTGTGTACGGCTCAGAGTTGGACAGAAACACCTTCTGTAGGCTCACTCCCAGTGGTTGGCAGTAACACCACACCCCGAGAGAAAACCAACAACACAGTCTAGCCCAGGCCAGAGACGTCTAATCCTGAAACTGTCCCGGATGTTTGCTTCTCCATAGAAAGAAAGTAAACAACTGGTGTGGACCTGAACCAGAAGCCAAGATGGGAGAGCCTTTCAACCTGTTAACCTCATCTTCACTTTAAGAAGGGAACATTATTACCTGAGAGGCCACTTCTAAAAGAAAGCAAACGCACTCTCCTTTCACACAGTCATGTCCACTGTTGACATTAGACAGGAGGACATCTGGACAGACAAATATACCAGCATAAACAGCTTGTCATTGGGATATATCAAGACTAAAAGCATAGGTATTTCATTCTTCATTGCCTCATGCCAGCATTACCTGCCTTTGTCATCCCTTGTTTTTGTCAAGGCATCCTAATGTGATCAGACATGGATCATGTTTTATTCCATTTATGAAAAGGTTTCCAAATATTCATGTCTTGAGGGTGTTCAATTAATTTGTGGAGGCTGTTAGTTACCCCCTGAGCAGGAAACTAATCGAGGTGTATTGTGATGGTTGAAAGCTGATACGTGAAAAATAATCAACAATTTTCATACAGATGATTCTTTTCTTGTCTTCGAATTAAACTTCCTCACTAAGTGGAGAAACTGTCTATAAAACTTCGAGATAGGTCAGACAGGTTAAGTTGCAATTTAAATCAATATAATACAGAAAGTGGCACAAAGCATGCATTCTGATTCACAATGCATCATAATTTCCTTCACAGTGCTCGACTATCAGTGCTGAGAAGTAGCTGGAAATTATAGTTTTTCGAAGTGCGTGTGATGAAAATTCATGATCTCACCTTTGCCCTGTCTCTTCACCTCCTCCAGCAGAGGTAGCATGATGGCGTTGTTGAGTCTGGAGGGCGATCGAATGGCAGTGGTGTACATGAGGGGCAGCGACTGCACCACAACAGGGATGCGGTGAACATGGCTGACCAGCTTCCCTGCTCCCTGCAGGCTCAGAGGGCTGGATGGAGGCGGCGGCACAGAGTGCAGGATGTGCAAATACGGCTGACCTCTGACCCCGCTGCCGGGGGCGACCAGAGGGCCCGGCGTGAGCAGCGACGAGGCTGAGGTGATCACCGATGGAGACGAGGAGGAGGAGGAGGATGACGACGATAAAGAAGACGGGGAGAACGCGTATCTGAGAGGGGAAGATGATGAGGTGGTGCTAGGGGTGGTGGATAGAGAGGAGGGGCGGGGTTTGTTGATTGACAGGTCGACAGGCTCGGTCTGTGTGTGGAAGTGCAGGTCGTGAGCGAGCAGGTCTTCTGGAGGTTCGGGTTTAACTCTGCTGAGGAAGAAGGGGACGCCGTCCATCACAGAGTAAGGGCGCACTTTAGGTGACTGTGGGAGTAAAAAAGAGATTAATGTTAGATGTTTCCCCCAATCATTCATGTTTGTCATTTGAATGCCTTGAAAGTGCACTTGACTGCTACACACCACAGGGTATACATACATAAGTAACACTAGCCGTCTACAATCAATGAATTCATGGCATAACATTTCATATTACTACTGTTGTAACAATTCTCTCTTTAATGAGTCAGGCCAGAAAGTGATATGTTAATGACTTCACTTGAATGATGATTATTTTTGTACAAGTATTGAGCTTCAGAAACCATAATGCTGCCTGCTAGTGATATGTTAGAAAGGTATGTGAAGTGACTTTTATTGAGAAAAGAGCAATTAATATCCTCGTGTTCATTCAAGCATTCAACTCCTTCTCGGTTAGCATGATGTCACTCACAGATGAAACGCAGGAGGAGTAGTGTCTCTCACACTCGCCTCCGCTCACCGTCTACTTGCTGTCTTTCTTTTCTCTTGGCGTGGGTTTCTCTATCTCTCTCCCTCCCTCTCCATCTCTTTCTGTTCCTCCTGTTTTCCATCACTCCCACAGAAAAAGCAGCTCTCTTGGCTCCCCTTATATCTCTCCTAAATCTCCTTTGTGACGGTGGAAAAACATCATATGGGCTCAATTTCCTGACCGTCTCCCTGTCTCTCACTGATGGGCCTCCTAAGGCCAACGCTGGTGGCTCAGAGTATCCCTCAGCACATCTTTCACCTAACACCAAGCAGACTGAAACACAACCGCCCCATCTGTCTGCACAAGTTTCAGGAACCTGTTTACTTGGAAAAGATAATGAAAAACATAGAGAGTAGAAAGGCAACACTATGCTACTAGTTGTGTTTTTCCAAACTCTTTCATATCATAATGGTTGTTGTCAAAATGAACCATTTAAGATGTGCTTGTGCAGATCTAGACTCACTATTTTATTTGGGAGGGGTGCTAGAGAGTGTGGTGTTGATCCTCACAGAGGCTGAGTCACAGCTTAGGCCATCAGGGAGCGAGAACATCCAGGATTTTGTACTAATCATACAGGAAAAGCTTATTAAACTAAAGGGAAAAACTTGAAACCACATGGCAGATATGAAAAATGTTCCACGGATTTTCATCCACACTTTTGTTTTTTGAGACTCACATTTCTTTCCGCTTATGTAATGCTGGCTGAGAGTGGATCTGTGGTGAATTACGAACCTTTCTGTGTGGTGTGTGTGAGTGTGTTCTTTTATGTAGTAGCCTGCTATTTTTACTCCAGACTTGCATACTCGTTTTTGGCCTTACAGGAAATGTTTTGACCCCATGAATCAAAAAGTGCTTCTCCCTTTGTAACTCCTCCTCAGTTGGAAAACAAACCCTACCCCATGAAATATGCCCTCGGATGACATCTGGACATTTAGGGTTCAGCTCAGGGTCAGCCGTGTCAAGGTTAGAGTTCACAGTACATAATACCACCCACAAAGCTATTTGTTTTACATATCATGAGAATGTAAACCGTCTTAAGTATCACAACTGAACAAAGCTAATTAACTCCAGTGTGAAACTTGGATGAGATGTTTATTTATGTTCGTGAGTCCATTGTGGACATTTCTTGTAGTACAGATCAGTCAGAGACAATAAATCGACCATTTATAGGCTGTTATATTTGGTCTTTTTGAGGGGGCTCTCTAAAGATCCAACGAGGATTCTGCTGGGAGAACAACCCATCTTTTGTAAAAATAACTACATACATAACTATAACATAGCAAACACAACAACACTCAAATATTCAACACAGGAAGACTATGCAGCTGCAAATGGCTATACTTTTACACCTGTAAAATATGTTTGGACTTTAATAGCTGGATGGTAACTGGGCAGATATGAGCCACTGATGGTAAAGCATGACGCAAATCAGCTGATGCAAGCTCTACTTTTTACTCCGCCTAAATGTCTTCATTGTTGCAATTGTTTCGACTTGCTTTGGCTACACATAATGCTAATATATCCCTGTGGTGATTGTTAGGTTACGAGTCTGATGGGTGGAGAACCATGTGACATGGAGTTTTCAGAGAAAGAAAATAATTGTTCTCATTTTTATTCTCAAATGAAATTCTAATATGCTCAAGGATTCTAAGCAACATTATTTAAGTCACTGTTTTTTTTTTAGCAGAGTCAGTGACACTATACTCTATGTCCCCCTACAAAATCCTCTGATCAATGGTTTGTAAACATAAAATATAACAGTAAAATGATGGTTTAGTCTATTCCTTTATGAGCAAAAGATCCCTCCCTTGGGCTATCTACAGTAATTGCTTATTTGATTTGTATTGCTACCTCTAAATCTGCTAGCTATCTATCTATAGTATCAGTTCCATAGCTTTACCTAGAGAAATATTTCAAACGAGATATCACTTAATTAAAAATAATATGCATGTTGTGATGTCAAATGTGGCTCTACATCTCATGCATCAACTCCCGCATCAACTCAACATGTAGCCTTTCTTGACAGACCCTCAGGCCATCATCCAGCTGCTTTAGCACGGGTCTCTCTGTGTTTGCATGTTCCTTATAGGATGTGAGTGTCACGGACCGCCTGGAGCTAAACTGCCTCAAGGCTTTGAAGTCATTACATCCATTGAGGCTGGTCTCAGTGTAGAAATCTTGTCTTTCGTACTAAGTGCTCTTAGAGTGTGTAGTTGGCTATGAAATTCTGCAGGATTGCCAGTTCTCCCTATAACAGGAAAAAGAGGAACTGAAAAAAAGATATTTGTGCCAATCACAAGTGGAGTCTGAATGCTGTTTAGTACTATTTTATGATTAACGAAAGAAATATGTTGTTGCAATCCTAAAATGTGATTGGCTAAGCCATGTTTGAAGCTATTCTGTTTAAAGTTTTGTGAGAGCATCTTGCATGGTTTTAACGCTATAGTGGTGAAAAAATCTGTCCACTGACAGAAAAATAACTGAAAACTGCAACAGAAGGGGTCTCAGGACAACAGTTTCCACGATGACACACATACAAGTCAAAGCAATATCTTCTTGCTGTCACTGCTGGTAATAAGGCACACAGAAATGTGGCATACTATTGTAATGCAGCAAACAGTCAGCTACAGTACAAATAACAGACTGTTAGCTAAGAGGTGCAAAAACACATTATAAAATAACCCAACAGTGTCTTGCAGTTGTTATTATTGGCACCTAGGCCTACTTGATTGAGAATAATTGAGTATAAGACATCAAGCGTGTGATGCAGTTGTTACTGAAGGTTAAAGGACATTATATTCTTATTTTCAGGTTCAAATGTTTATATTGTGCCTCTACTGAGACTTATTTTTGTCATACTGCTACAGCACACCCCAGTCTGCTCTGATTGGTTAGCTGTTCAGCTCTGTTGTGATTGGTCAACCGCTTAGAGATGTCCCGCCTCTTAGCCATCACTTACAATGTTATGGAGCGTTAGCCAATAGCCACAATTTAGTCACCATCTGATAGCATTGATGGAAAAATGAAGACTAGGAGTAAGGCTGTTTGCTCCTGAAAATGACTTTACTGTAATGTTATCTTGTCACTCCAATGAAGCAGTGGAGACACATCGAAACATCAATTCTCTATTGTAGTTTATTTTGAGCAACACGGGCTGTGTTCAATTAATTTGAACAAATGTTATGTTAGTTTGATTCTTTCTTTGAAAAAGTGACAGCCCTAATACCCAACCAATAATAAGTGGCAAAGCACTCGAGAGGACTGAATTTAACTTTGTATTCGCATATAAAGGAATGTGCTATGTCATTATTCAAAAGTCTTAGGCTCACTTTGATTGTAGCCTTTCTGTTTGATGGAGTAGTTTATGACAACCTGTTCAACTTACAGTAGGCAAATCCTGTGTTGCTCCTGTGTAAAAAGGAGAACTTATGTGGAAAGGTCAAAACAACAGAAAGTATAGTGTTACAAAAAACTGAGATTTGATTTCGGTTCTCAGGAACATCTCAACCAGCCCAAATGGAAAACTGTAGCCGCCCCCTTCTCTCATTCTGACAGATACAAACACATGCATACACTCAAACCTACACATCCTCACAGACGCTGACACACACATACAGATATGCTCGACCCGCCTCCCTCTGTCCTCATGCCATTGTCTTTATTAGGGGATACTGGTTAGCGGGGCAGATTTTCCAGCCTCTTGCTGGCGAATTGTCTAACAAGGCAGACCATTTCCAGCAAGCCCTTGGCTCCCCGCCACCCAAATGAAGACCACATTTCTGCAGCAGCCTAAACTGTCTGTCTGTGAGTCTGGAGTAAAGGGAAGCAAAGAGTGTTAGGGGAAGATTGGATCTCGGTGCACTTCAAAGCTGTGTGGGCTGCACTGCTCACATCCTGTCTGTGACTGACATCACTGCACGTATGGAGAAAGACATCAAAACCCCAGGTAATAGGTAGCATTTCGGGAGCACGGCTCTCAAACCCTTGAGCCACAGCTGAGAGCGGGACACCCAGAATGTGACCACCTGCTGCCTCTTGTCAAACCCTCAGACGTGGAGAGACAGATCTGATTCTTATCAATACAAAGCACCTACACAGCCAAACAATTCTCCACTGAGGAAACCTGATGGGCTATCAGCAGCTGGTATTTCCCTCATCCATCATCGGATTATGCTCTCCGTTTCGTCTCAACAGAAGAAAAAAAAATGTTGCTCCTCTGCCACCGAATGCTCTTGGTGATATATTAGGAGGCAGGAAATTATTGATATGTTATGAATGGAAATCAATAATATCACAACACTAATTCATCATGATTACAAATATTAAGTGGCCTGCACACACTGCACACAGAGCTGTGGCAGCAACACAAAGCCCGTTGTAACCTAGCAACAGCTTCTCCATAACAAGACCACTTTATTTCTAGGTATGTTGGACGAGAGAGCACTGGTACTGTATGTGGGCCCTGGAAACCTTGCATGAGGTGAATCCATTAGTGCTAACATGGTCAATTAGCACAGTCCATTTGAACATAAAACTCGAAAATGACATAAACATTGTGAATATTTAAGAAAATAAATTCAAAGACTTAACATTTCTGGTTCATATTCACATCGCACAGAATTTGTGTGGTGACATTTAACTTCCCCCCCCCTGTGATAAATGCACATTAAGATATAGACACAGAGGTGACAATGTTAAAGGCATGCATGGGATAGTGTCGAAAAAAGCTTTGATAAGTGTTTGCAGAGAAAGAGTATTTTGTTGCATCTGTCTTGTGTATATTTGTGTGTGTGAGCGAGAGAGATTAATCATGTGTGTTTGTGAGAAGGAAGGGTCTGGGAGGATGAAGGGAAATTGAGAGACGTTAGGAGCAGGAACACACAGAGATGGATAAGATTTAGATTTTCCCATGTGACCCTCCTCCCCGGAGCAGTGGCTACATCTGTGCAATCACCCCCAGCCAGCACGGACTCCCTGCTGGCCCCCGTCACCTCCCCGAAACCCCCCCCCCCCCCCCCCCCCCCCATGCATTCCTGCTCCAGCTGTGGCTCTCCTCCTCTTCTCCTCTTCCTGCTTACTACCATGCTCTCCGACCACTCCTCTTAGCCCCCACACTCACTCTCTCACTCACTCACTTAGGCCTGGGAGTAATTATGAACCCATTGCCAGGAGGAGGAAAGACGGAAAGGAAAGCAGGAAAAGAAGAAAAAAAAAGGAATTGTCTGGAAAACAACTGCTCTCTTACCCCTTGTTCCGAGTCCAGGGGCTCAGATTTGACTCGCACTGCAGGCATTCCGTCAAGCATTAACATCCTGTTTCTTAGGCTGCCTGCAAAAGGAAACAGAGGAGGTGTAAGACGGGTGTTTTAGCATGACTAAGCAGGTCCCACACTCAGTTATTCACACATGGACATCTATGATGTTGTGCCTACACCCACGGAGAGAAAAAAACATTTTAAATAGTCACAATTCATATTTCAAAAACCATCAGAAGCTGATGGGAAAAACATGCTCACAAACTGGGTAAACTCAGTCAATGCACAGCATGATTCAGTCTTCTCCGTAACAACTACAATTCAATTGCCTGGTGGGCTGCAGGAGGACTAATAACACTTTATAATGCTGTCTATTTATAATGCTGACTAAAATCCTCTTAACACTTCAGTGGATTACAAATATTTGCTTTGATATATAGTTACTCAACAGCACAGCCACACAACATGTTCTGCTTAACCACTGACATAAAAAACAATAATTGATACTTGGAAATACAATTTTTACACGTTAACCCCAGGGATTATATATTTCTTTGGAGGACTACATTTACATACATGCAAACACACACAAAACACACTTATTGGTACATCTATACATCCATCCTTCCCTCTGCAACCTCTGAACACGGTGCCTATGCAAAGGAGGCAGCAGTGCCCATCTCCTCAGCTCCATGCTGTGGCTTTAAGAGGGATACTCGGATGGAGCCAATGACAACAATGCATGTTCCGTATCCCTCAGTCAGGGCCGACCTGAGGTAACCTTTTCTCTTATTATTTTAGCAGCAGTACATGGAGGAATGTAAGCAAGGCAAATAGTCTCTAAACATCTCTATTACTCTGCACTGCTGGCACCAGCAGCAGGATGTGTGGCCCAATCCTGGAAACTAGCAGCACCACAGCCACCATGACCATTCTTGTGCGAAAAAAAAAAATCACAAATTACTCTTTTTCCATCAAACTGTACTAACCATCGGAGTATCCGTGAGGCCATGGTGAATTATCATGATTTTTCATCCACGCAAGATAGAGAATATTTTTATTTTTTTGTGATTTTAATAATAAAACTGTCACCAGACTAAGGGACAGTTTCATCCTACAGGCCATAAGACTGTTAAACACATGAACTTTTGAAAAAACATCCATAACATTCATCTGTTTGCAACTTATATCAATATTCCAATGACTTTTATATAGACTAATCTGCACTATTTATATTATATTCTATTTGATTTACTTTTCATTGGCATAATAACTACACTGTAGCTATGTACAAATGGCAATAAAAGCCTTGAATCCTTGAATCCTAATCACATATTGTTCCACTACCTCGATTCTCAAGCAAAAGGCTAATCCTGACTGGTTGTGTGCGAGGGAGGCAGAGAAAGAGGGAGGATTTAGTCTCTCAATCTGCAACCCCCCAGATCTCTCCTCTCAGGTCTAAGTCCCTCAGGTACCCTGGCTGTGCTGCTATTGTATTGTTGTCCAGGATGTCCTTCGGCTCCAGGTCTTGGTAGGCCCAGATAGTGTTGCCATAGTAACAGCTGGGGCGGGTGGAGCTGCAGCTTCAGTCCAGCCTCAAGCCATGTGGTGAAGAGAAGAAATGAGAGGAGGCAGAGAGTGAGGTTTGTTTTCCTCAAGATGACCATCATTCTGCCAGAGAAAAATTCTCCCTCTCAGAAAAAAATATATGTTTTTACAAAAAGGAGTTTTCAGTTAAAATCAATATTTTTCTCACGGGGTGAATTTCACTTTTGCACAACGTTCTTTTTGGAGCCTCACAAAAAGTTTACCTCATTCGAACTTATTTGTTCTTTCTGCTTAATGTGCACACTCCCTTCAAATTAAATCATAACACGCCAACGTGTTCAGAATCGCACATTTCTGAAAGCAACAACCTTTCCCAAGCTGTCCATTTAATCCAGTGGTGTGTGATCACCTTCTTAATGAACTGGCCCGCAGAAAGCCATTCATTGGAAATCAATGGCCATTGCATATATGTGCTTGTGACTGTAATGACCAAAGAGCTAACAGCAGAGAGAGACCTAACACTGAGTAATGAGCCCACAGAGGGGCTCAGCATGTCGAACAGGTCATGTCGAAACACTTCAACCAAAGTCATGTGTCAACTGCTTTTGTGTCCATGAAAGGAACATGTCTGCCAGTTAGTATGTCATGGTCTCAAATTAAAATGATAACAATATGGACAAAGATTGAGTTTGAAATTAAGGGAATTTGTTCAAGGTAATAAACCAATGTGTAATCTCTATCACTAAATTTGGTCTGCTGGCGGCAGGCTTAGGCGACCAGCAGTGTGCTGTCCATCAGGAGCCTCTGTGTGTGGGAGATGGAGAGAGGGAGGGGGTTAGAGGGAAACTGGGTAGATTAAGATCACCTTTCCATTTGCTGCACTCTGAAATGAAATGGCCATCCCAGGTGTGTGGGGGAGTTGGATGGAGAGAGGAGGGCAGTGGAGTGTTGAAGCATCTAATTTCTCTCTCCTGCCTGCCCTCCCATCCCCACCGAAATCCCTATAATGAAAAAAAATAAAGGTAAAGGGAGCAGGTGACAATTGGGGCTAGTTCTAACAGGAAAAAATGTTCGAAATATACAAATGTCAGTGTCTGCTGCTCTTTCCGCTTTTCTGTTTGTGCTTATTGTGTGTCTGCAAATACATTTGAAAGTATGAACTGAAACTCCACGTCACATATATGACCTCGAGGTCCACAATCTCCAAGTTCCCTGATGACTACCATGGCTGTGCTGATGGAGACGATAGCAACTATCCAGAGAAGGATAGAGCCTGGGCAAACCAACCCTGAACAGACTAGCTGGATCAATTGACGTGGCAAAGCTCTCTCAAACAAATGTTGACCTCATACACGAGTGACATCATCCACGCTGACACACACATGTTAAGATTGGTCCAAACACATGCGCCACATTAACTCAAAATATCTCAAAGGAAAACATGTAAAACATACCAGTCAGTGAGAGCATGTTTAACTTTATCTCAGCATATGCGACTGTGAATAAAGATACTGCATAACACAGCAATAAAGACATGTATGTAAAAGAGAAAGTTAAGCTTGAACAAACTCATAAAATCAGATTTAGTATCTGGCTGTGTACCATCTCAGCTTTCTGTCTCATCCCTCTCTCTCTTATGTGCACACACACACACACACACACACACACTCACAGCACACACCCTGACACACACTGTAACAGACGGGCCCCTCCAATGCTTTGTTCCCATGTCGAGCGCCCAGAGCAACCGGGTGCATCTGTGTCACAGAGGCTGGACCTGCTGCCACGGGCTGGGATGGAAGAAGGATGGAAAAGGAAGAGGGGAAGTAAAGGGAGCAATGAATTATGGGAGAAACATGAGGAAGTGTTAGGGAAGGTGATAGCAAGAGAAGTGAGTGAGGGTGGGGGCTCTTGAAGAGCACATAGTTGCTGGCAGGAGCAGCGGTTAGGGAAACAACTAAGGGGAGTTGAAGAGGTTGAGGAGGGGGGGAAGGGTGTTTAGTGGGAAGGAGGAGGGGCGGGAGGCAGAGAAGCGAGAGAGGGTAGAGAGGGGATATGGACCGCCGCCAAGGCCCGGTCGAGCACAAAGCACACGGTGCAAGAATGCCAACAGACCCCCTCCCACCCGGTTCTCTAGCAAAACGAAGAGAGAGAAAAAATGGAAAGCTATAGAAGGAAACTGCAAGGAAATACTTCAAAAGGTTGAAAATCAGAAATAAATTACAGTATCTAGTGCTGTGAGTGCAAATGCATGAAATGGACAGAGCTTTTGAAGATGTGAGATGAGCATTTCCTGTGTTTGGCCAGTGTTTTGTGCCGCTGGCCTCTTTGCTGCGGCTCACTTCCCTCTTCTGTGCCCCTGGACACCCCGATGTGACACATTGGCCTGATAACCAGCCTACAACTGCTAACTCACCAGCACACTCCTCCCCTTCCTCTCTTTGAACTCACTCAGTGAAGCAACTTTTAAAAAAGTACTGAAAGCTAACCACCTTCGCAAAAGAAATCACTTGCTAAAAAAAGGTTGGGTGAGTGACACTTTGAAGACCCTTGAAAATAAAAGTCTAGAAATGAAACATTGATCTTGTTTGCTATGTAGACACAATAGAGCCACAGCTGAATCACAGCTGATTTTCGATCTCAATCTGCTTCACGTTAAGCTGTGTGTGTGTGTTCATGACCTCATCTTGTTGGCCTCATTCTGTTCTTGAGAGCTCATTCAAATAGTTCCCTGCAGAGTTACTGCTTAAACAGTAACTGCACGCAGGCAAATAACAGCGGCTAATAACGGAGAGTGGTCAACTACTCAAGACTTGAACCGTTAACCAATCGAGGTCAGTGCTGCAGTATAACGCCAAAAGGCATTAACCATATTTTACATGTCTTAGCAGAGTCTGTGTTTAAGACATCTGTTTCACTGTAACAAATAATAATATTGTGCTGTAGAAAACTGCCTTTAAAAAAACAGTATTTAATGTTAATGGCGGTAGAAAGAATAAAATTGACAACTTTTCTTGACCTTTTACCTGCTTTAACAAAAATCCTTTAGTAATTGATTTCTTTATACTGTATAATTAAGGCAGTGGCTAAGTGTTAGTGTAAGAAAGTTGTTAGTAACTCAAAGTGGCCTAACCTAGATGGCATTTTGGATTGTCGATATATACATTTGGGGGTTAAAATCATCATCCTTTTCATCATGGTCAGGGGCGCCGTAAGGGGGTGAAAAGTTAGGACGATTCTAAGGGCCCGTGACTGACAGGGGCCCAAACAATTTTAGAACATTAAGAAAAAAATGTTTAAGTAACCAATGTGATATCTTTTCATGGGGCCCAAAATCGCTGGCGGCGCCCCTGATCATGGTCATCATCACCATCATTAGCGATGCTTTTTCTCCTCACAAGATGTAAAGTGGAGTTACTCTTTAAGACAGGCAACTCCTACTTAGTGTGTTATCTCTCTGTTCAGACAAAAGCTTAAGATAAGCTCTAAAATTCCCTACATTTGAGTGCTTATATTAATTTACTTT